AGATAGATTCGAAAAAGTGGTTTCAAAATTCACATAGAGAAAGAGTGTGATGTAGACCCTTGTTCTTTGATTAGCTTAAGAGTTTTTAAATGAATGTGTCAACCAAACAATGGGAGATTAATGTGCGGATGCATCTCTAGAGAATCCCGATGGAGAGCAAGAAGAAGTGAGTCTGAGGAAATAGTTTATGCTACCATTGTGGGGGAGTTGAATGCTGATTCTAGAGAGTATGAGGATGAGTTTGGATGCACACATTCAAAATACGAGCTGCTGAAACACATGCGCAGCTGTTCCAACAAGAAGATAGATTAAAGTGACTTGGCAAAAGAGCTAACGTGAAAGTGAAGTTGGGCTTCTCTTGGAATTAGAAAGCTTAATTATAAAAAAGGTTAGAGTTTAAAATGGTTTTGTAGGCTTAGTATAAAAGCCAACATGTGTAGGCAAAAAAGGCATGCGCCTAGGGTTCTATTGAAAGTTACACAAAGGTGTGTAGCGTCGTCCCATCATACATGATTTGTAGATTTGTTAGTGCTTGTCTATGGATATTGTAGCCGTTGAGAAGACGGTAATGCACCGATGCTGCTGGTTGGTAGTCAAGCATGCGGGCTTGATACATGTCTTCATAGTTTGTCCATGTAGAAAAGAGTGGTGGATGCCATATAGCAATTATAGGTTGCGTCCTTTTCTATTGGATTGATTATGGATTTGGTCTCCGGGATGTAGGAAAACCGAACCTATTGAAAAAAATCTATGTGTTTCTTTATTTTATGATCATACACACTAATGGCACACACGAACATATAGATCTAGCCACAAACCAAACTTTCATGTTCTTAGTTGCTAATTCATAGCATGATATAATTGTATACACTCCGGACTTTGTGTATCTCCATGCATATCCATCTAGGGAACATGTACAACTAGGTCTTAACCCCAAAATGAGAAGGATGTCAGTCGGGTGGATAATTACATCTCACTCGTTCTTGTCTCATCTAATGAGATATTGGACTAAGTCAGATCTCTATAGCTAGAACTTCTCAGCTCTCTCGCCGGACATGACATAATATTTGAGAACCAAGGGTCGTTCCACACTCTATTATTACAACCGAAATTAATCGTTTTTAGGTTTTGGACTAGGAGTGGCTTCTATGGGCTCTAAATGGTAACAATTGAATTGAGGAATTCAAAAGAAGGTAGATGAATTTTTGGGAATAAAATTCATCCAACATCTTTTGAAGTTTTGAGGAACTGAAAAGAATTTTTGTTTCTTTTTTAAAAGAAAAACTCATACA